ATATACAGACACAGATAAAGCTGTATTCGACGGACGAAAGGATATATGATTTCTGACATGATTGAGAATCGTAGAGCCAGAGACGGAGAACTTTAAAGCGTTAAAATCGGGATGTGGAAAATATGAAAACAACGAGGAGAGGCAGGACTGAGATTTGGAGATATGCTTCAGAGGTCCAGACTATGGGGAGGCCCGAAAAATTAATAATTACCATTTGGATTCTAATTTGGTCTTTTTTATTTTAGTTTTTTGTTTTAATTGTTTTATGATTGGATATGTTGATTGGATGTTTTTTATTGGAAAATTAATAAAAATGATTTTTATTTTATTTTTTAAAAAGGAATGTACATTTCTTCTGAATTTTAAAAAAGTTATTCAAAAGCAGTCAAAGCAATGTTTACACGAAGCATGGGGAAAGGGGACGGCCCAAGGATGTAAATTTTATTTATCTGAGCTTGGCCAGTTCCTACTCACATTGACACATGCCCGCCATCAAGACAAGCGAGAGGCAAATTCCAGCCAGGCAAAAACACTCCAGGAGGGTGCAAAGTCAGACCACCGAAAAGCACGGGCTGGGAAGCGGGTGTGCAATGGGGAGAGAAGTTCGAGCGCTGGGCTAGGAACTGAGAGACTAGGGTCCAAATCCACACTCAGCCATGAAGTTCACTGGGTGAACTTGGGATGGTCCTCGACTCTCAACCTAGCCTACCTCACAAGGTTGCTGTTAGGAGGATAAAATGGGGAGAAGAATGCACACCATCTAAACATAGAAATAGAATAAGCAGGGAGGTCTATGCCGAGAGATCCTGCTCATGGATAAAGCAGATGTGTCTGTTTTTATTTTCACTGGAAATTGGGCATGCGGGTGAAGAGAACTAAGCCTTCCCTAGACTTCTTCTCCTCCCTTAGCCCAACTAACTTCCAGAACCAGAACTACTAGGGGGAAATTGCTTCACGTAATGAGGCACCATTTGGAAGGAGAGGGGAAAGGGCTTCACTAAGATGGTAAAGGTAAAGGGTAAAGGGACCCCTGACCATTAGGTCCAGTCGTGACCGACTCTGGGGTTGCGGTGCTCATCTCACTTTATTGGCTGAAGGAGCCGACGTACAGCTTCCGGGTCATGTGGCCAGCATGACTAAGCCGCTTCTGGCGAACCAGAGCAACGCACGGAAACGCCGTTTACCTTCCCGCCGGAGTGGTACCTATTTATCTACTTGCACTTTGACGTGCTTCCGAACTGCTAGGTTGGCAGGAGCAGGGACCGAGCAACGGGAGCTCACCCCGTCATGGGGATTCGAACCGCCGACCTTCTGATTGGCAAGTCCTAGGCTCTGTGGTTTAACCCACAGCGCCACTCGCGTCCCTTACACTAAGATGGTAAGTCTATGTTATTGGCCAAACCACTTCAGGCTCCGTGTGGAGCCTTCACAAAACGCAACACTCCTCCATGCAAATCCTTCCTTGCATATAGAAACCTAGCATGTCAGGAGAAGGGGAACCTATTTCCTTGTGCATACTGAACTCCCTGCATTCTGAAAACTTGGAGATAGGGGAGCCTTTCTCCTTGACATGCTAGCTTTCTGTGGGGAGGATTGTTTTCATTTTTAAAAAGGATCACAAGGGCCTCCAAGCTGCAGTCCAAAATAAGAAAGAGCAGAGACCTTGTACAGGATTAGACCTCATCCAAAGGCATGAGGACCATTAAAAAGAAGGACTTTATGCTCATTAGAACGAGCAAGATGAATCACAGTACTAAGTGTCCACTCTTTTTGTGGAAATAGCCAGACCTTTTTATAAGCTTGAGACAGAACAGCTCATGCTAGATTGGCTCACCACTTTAGCAGAGATAAAACAGGCTATAATTCATTAAGCTGGGCAAGTTCCAGGTACAAATTGATCGATGCATTATGCCTCTGCTTCAAACAAATAGAGACACTCCCTCTGCAGATTAGATTTCAGAATCAGTTAATTCTTCACATTTTTGTCCCGCAGCAAAAAAGTGAAGACATTTATGTTAGATGTTACAGACATATTAATGCAATTATCTTGCTCAAAATGACGACTACATCAAAAATATATAATATACCGGAGTGCAGTGAGCAACCACATATTTTCAGGTGGTCCTAAATAATCTACTTCGGACTTCTTGACTTTATAGACAGAGCAACAAAATTGGAAACACGTTAATGCCCGTTTTTAATAGTTTGTTTCTAGACCTGTAGTTAAAGGTAAAGGTAAAGGTACCCCTGCCCGTACGGTGCCCGACTCTAGGGTTGCGCGCTCATCTCGCTCAGCGTGACGAAGCTGCAACTGGCGAGCCAGCACCAGCGCCGCACACGGAAACGCCGTTTACCTTCCCGCTATAAAGCGGTACCTATTTATCTACTTGCACTTAGGGGTGCTTTCGAACTGCTAGTTGGGCAGGAGCTGGGACCGAACGACGAGAGTTCACCCAGCCGCAGGGATTTGAACCGCCGACCTTACGATCAGCAAGTCCTAGGCACTGAGGTTTTACCCACAGCGCCACCCGCGTCCCTCAGACCTGTAGTTAAAGCCTCCTAATAGTGTAAATAGTAAAAGTAGGCATACAGTATTTAATTCCTTTGCCTGTGTATGAAACGGAGAGCATCACAGAGACACAGAAAAGTGGCACTTCTGTGGCAAACAAAACACATCTACAACCAGCTTTTTCAAACTAGAAGCAAGTTTTAGGTTTGCTCCTTTCAGGGATGAAGGAGTATGTAAGTATGTGATGCAATTGTCTAAGAAGGGACTCTCTAACATTGTCTCTCTACTTTATTTCCTGTTAATGTTAGATCTTAGGATTTCATAACGCTAAAAAAAGAGAACCTACCTCACCCCATGACAAGCTGCACTCCATTCCCAACAACAGGGGAATTTAAAGACCACATATCAAACATAGTTTGTCCTTGCATTTTTGTGTGCTTTGTTTTACAAACTGTGGACATGGAACCATTTTCCAGCTGTGTGGAACTCTGCTTTTGTCGTGATACACAAGGCCATAAAAACTTATCGATTCACTGTTGCTGCAGTTCAGCTATTGATTTTGACCCTGAAAGGCAGGTTATGCACATTTTAAATAAATAAACAATAACCTGCAAAGGAAAGTGGAAGAGCAGTGTGTGAAGTGGGTGTGGTTTTCAACCTCTCCCCTCATACCCCTGCTGCTAAAAAGCTGCTTAATTTGACTTGTAAAAGAACCTTTGCATTTTATTACACAGAACAGAAAAGGATGAGGATGAGGACAGACAACACGTAACTAAGCCCTCATGGCTAGTCTTGCGCTAATTTTCAGGGACTTATGAAAGAAACTGAAGAGAAGGCACTTGTCACTGTGGGCACGTTTGTTACACCCCTCCACCACATAAAATGCAGTAAGATTGACAGCTCCAAGCCCAATACTACAATGCAGAATTTTCCATGCAGCAGTATCTCACAGGACATTTACAATGCTCTGGAATACATAAGCAGGTGACAGAAGCCAAAGTACTCTACATGCAAAGACGTGCACATGGCAGGTGGCTCTAGGAAGTGAGCCACTGAGCATATTACAAGGAACAGATTGAACACTATAGAAAATACCGCAGCCACCAGCCCACCTGCTATGGAGAGACACTCCTGTCTTCTGTGTATGTCCGTAAGGAAATGGTTTCATACAACAGAAAGCAAAACTCACTCTGGCTGTGCTGACAGCACAAGTGGTCTTTATTTGCAGCAATTAAAGGTGGAATGGAAAATATAATATTCCAGTGAACCACAAGCAAAGAAAGGATCAGAAAAAAAGAGTCAAGAATTAACCATCAATTAGTTGTTGCTATTTCTGCAGTTTACGTGATAAACCTACAAGGAACATTTCATTATTTTTATTCTGGTCCCCTTTCTATGGCCCATTAGAATGGAATTTTTCTTTCTTTCTTTGCTGCTGCAAGCTCTAAGTGACGTTTTGGCTCTACATATGTCAAAGTCACTGCAAAAGAAATCTGCGATCAAACCCAGATTAGCTGAGTGAAAATGTTTGCTTCCGAGTCTGAAATCTTCACTTCCTGACTTTTACGGTTGAGAAGAGAGGTTCACTTCAGGCCAAGAGCTGACACACAAAATGGCTTTGCTCTAAGGGCTGGACATGCAGCAATAAGGATGGCTAGTTTTAAAGCTCAACTACCATCAGATTTTAGCTTGAAGGTTTAGCTACCCTTCAGGATAAGTTTCTTTCCCCACACAGCCCTGGCTCTTTATTGACAAGTCTTCACTAAAGTGAAGGTTTTTTTCAAATATGCTCTCACTTGCTTTTATAACACACGCACTTCATTTCAGACAGCTTGTTTCCTTCAAAATAAAACCGTAGACACTGTCCCAAGCAGATTGCGCTGTCCCAAGGCACCTTGCCAGATACCAGTTACTCTTGGAAGTAATGATTTGCAAACAGAGGACTGCGAAAAATAAATCGGATATGGATCTGAGCAGGAGGGGGCTCGACCTGCCCAAGCGAAAAATCTGTTTGATCTAGTTTCTAAAGACAAATTATTTTTAGGAGATCACCACCCCACAGCATGGATGCTTAACAGTCTACCTAAAGACACACAATTCTACCCGCATCCTAAATCACTCAACAGAGGGCCTGCGGAGAAGCACTATTTCCCAAGCAAGTTTCAAAATGCCATTTAAACAGGGTGACCCATCCAGCGGCCACTGCTATGATTAAATAATAATAATAATAATAATAATAATAATAATAATAATAATGATACCAGCTTGAGCTGCAGTTTAATTATGAATTTGCCCATAGCATACACACACGTATACATGAAGAGTATATGTATATATGTAAAGGTACATTAAGAGTCTAAAAGACAGTTTCCGGGAGGGAAAGGGACTGAACTGAAAAGCAACCAGGAAGAAAATAAAATGAATATAACTACAAAGGGCAACCATAAGAAACGCAGGTTGTGGATTTTAATAAAAGTGCGAAATAGATTACCAGGCAAGTGGCTGCCGACACCTTCTGCTCTTCGTCGCAGCGCTATGTGATGCTATTCCACCATCTAAGCCCTCTGCCAAGCCCACGGTCCTCCTGCAGGCCCCGGGAGTGAATGAAGCACGCAAGCCGGAGTCAGGGAGCGACACCCTGGGGGGCGGGTCTTCCCTCGCTGAGCGACATCGCAGCCCGACCAATGAAAGGCGCAGGCGAGTAGACAGCCGGGAGCGGCCGCCAGCCAATGGTGCTTCCGCAGCTCGGTCCCCGCCCCCCCCCCGTTCTCGCCGTGGAACCACGGAAGGCGGAAGGGAGGGGGGGCGTATTTGAATTATGCTGATAAGCTGGCCGGAGCAGCCAATCAGAGCGCTCTCGTAAGGCTAAAGCATCTTCAGAAGGACCACCGCGCCGGGATGCAGAGGAAAACATCTGGCTGGGGAGATGATGGCGGACTTGGGAGGCAATGAAAGCGACGCGAGGCTGGTGGGTGCGGCTTGGCCAACCGGCGCTGATTTAAAGGGAAAGTCTATGGGAGAGTTCGCACGAGCGTTTGGCGGTCACCTGAAATTCCTCCACGTGTTGCTGGCCACCTGTAGCCAAGCAAATATATATTTTGTTGACAGGGCTTTTTTCAACAGGGACTCACCAGAACTCAGTTCCGGCACCTCTCAGGTGGACATCATTGCCATTATAAGAGAACAATGGAGGCTTTCATTTTGAGTTTCGGCACCTCTTTTTCCAGAAAAATAGCACTGATTGTTTACATTTATATCCCACCTTTTTCTCCAAGGAGCTCAATATGTTTACACTTCTCCTCCTCATTTGATCCCCACAACAACTCTGTGAGGTAGGTAAAGGTAAAGGTACCCCTGCCCATACGGGCCAGTCTTGACAGACTCTAGGGTTGTGCACCCATCTCACTCTATAGGCCGGGGGCCAGCGCTGTCCGCAGACACTTCCGGGTCACGTGGCCAGTGTGACAAGCTGCATCTGGCGAGCCAGCACAGCACACGGAACGCCGTTTACCTTCCCGCTAGTAAGCGGTCCCTATTTATCTACTTGCACCCGGGGGTGCTTTCGAACTGCTAGGTTGGCAGGCGCTGGGACCGAGCGACAGGAGCGCACCCCGCCGCGGGGATTCGAACCGCCGACCTTTCGATCGGCAAGTCCTAGGCGCTGAGGCTTTAACCCACAGCGCCACCCGCGTCCCTGTGAGGTAGGTAGTTTTATTTTATTACATTTGTGCACTGCCCTTCATCCGAGGAATACAGGACAGTTTACAATGTAGAAACACAAAGATACATAACATAATGAAAATCAAAACAATAAACACCCCCCCACACACACACACACATAAGACACGTTTATTAATATAAGCTGCCAAATGTCCAAACCGATAGTCAAACAAGAATGACCATGGTTAAGATACATGTCCTAACGTAGAAAGGGAGGTTTATCCTTCCAGCCTTACATGTTTGTATGCACCAGAGTTTGGTAAATAGGGACGCCTCTCCAGGTGAATAGAGCAGAGGTGGTTGTAAAGTGTATGACAAAACAATAGTTGCGTAAGAGGCAGCAGCAGAGAGAGATAGCTTGGGATTGACTGAGGGTACCTTGAGATGTGTGACTGTGGCCATATTCACACCATTTAAAGCAGTATGACACCACTTTTAAAGCACTATGATATCACTTTGAACAGTCATAGCTTCCCCCAAAGAATATTGGGAGCTGCTGCACTTTGTTAAGGGTGCTGGGAATTGCTAGGAGGCCCTTATTTCCTCCACAGATACAATTTCCAGAATGGTTAAACTATCAATCCCGCGTCACATTGAAATTTAAGTTCTGTGAGGGACAGGGCTATCTTGGGAGACAATGGAGGAGTGCACCTCCGGCGGATGACGTCAAATTGTTGAAAGGTTGCAGCACCTGCTGTGGGTATAGAGACAGATACTGGAGGGACATATTGTATTACATCTGGGGCAGATGATGGTGTCCAGTTGTGCTACTGCAGATACACCATGGGGTTTCTTCTCTCTGCACCCAGCAGTCGTTCCTCCTCTGGTCTCTGCTGTGGCTACATGACCTGACTGTCCGTCTCCAGGCACTGGTGTAGCAGCTAAAGGGCATCAGTTTCACAAAAGCTCTCTTATCAGCAACGATGTGAAGCAGTCACTTCGCTCCCATAGTAGCGTTAATCCTGTTTGCTGTTTTCAAACCCCACTCCTCTTGCAAAACCAAGCTGCTTTTAACCATAACCCCTTTGGGAAACATGGATTGCAAATTGCGGAGGTGTACGGAGAACTGCCAGAAAGCTACACAAGCAGCCCCATCTCCTGGGGCTTATTCTCCATGTAGGAGTTAGTGTGAAATCCATAGGCTGAGCTTCTCACTGTGCATGTGGGCACATGGAAGGAAATGTACAACACATCAAGACACACACACACACCACAGGTTAAAGACTTCCACTTTATAGCCTTCAGCGCAGAATGGAATCTCATTTGATGGTAGTGAATATTACAGGTCATGCCTGAAATCTGGGCTCTGACTTCAGAAATAACCAGGGAGTGCACACAAACCAAGTGAAGGTTTGGAATACCAGCCTACAGCAGATAACCAGAAGAGGGCACTCATCAGCTTCTGTTGACAGTGGTACCTTGGGTTACATACGCTTCAGGTTACATACGCTTCAGGTTACAGACTCCGCTAACCCAGAAATAGTGCTTCAGGTTAAGAACAGAAATCGTGCTCCGGAGGCGCGGCGGCAGCAGGAGGCCCCATTAGCTAAAGTGGTGCTTCAGGTTAAGAACAGTTTCAGGTTAAGTATGGATCTCCGGAAAGAATTAACCTGAGGTTAATGGTATAGTTTCAAAGATTTCTGTGTTGTGTTCTATGTAAATATGTGTTCTTTTCCTGGACATTAAACACAAGGAAAGGCCCTGTGTTATTCAAAAGCTTGCATATTGCATTTTGAACAGTGGCTAGTCTTAGTGAAATATACTACTTCACCGGCACTGTGATTCTAATTGTGTTCACACCCAGTGAGTTCATGGCAGAGCTGAGAATTGTAACCAAATGCAGTTTCACCATCAATACACTTGTCTCATTCCATTGTGCCAGTTAAGACAGATAGGATAGTAAAGAGTAATGATGCCTTTGTTTGAATCCAGCTTCCACAGAACTCCTCATTGAGCCAGACTTGGGGCCCCAACCACGTGCCTTTCTATGCTGCCCCTTGAAGCCCACCCAGCTTGCAACACCTTGCAATGGGCCCATAGCAAAGGAGCATTTCCCCCCCTGCCTTTGCTCAATACCTTCCACCAAAACCTGCACAACCGCTGGGGCTATGGATGCAGTGCTGGCTATGCGGTTCCTTCAAGCCCCACCACTGCCAACCAGGAATTTAGAATTGCAGCTTAAACTCTTGATTGAGCAATATGCATACATACATACATACATACATACATACAGTATTCCTGATTCTAGTTAGAAACAATGAATACAGAAAATGGATGGAACTATGCTTTCTAAGAGCAGCACTTAAGGGATTTTGAGCACAATATCCCCCCTCCAAATGTAACCTTAATACGTTTCTCATTTGGAGTGCCAGTCTACAAATATTTACCCACAGTTGTGCTTTTCCTTCAGATACTAGTACCACTTTTTTCTATGTCAGTTTATCTGCCAAGGAACCGGCCAGTGGTTCTCACCCTGTGGGTCCCCAGATGTTGTTGGACTACAACTCCCTAGCAAGGCCAGAGCTCAGGGATGATGGGAGTTGTAGTCCAACAACATCTGGGGAGCCACAGGGTGAGAACTGCTGCAAGCATAGGTGAAACTAGGTTTTATTTTACCCAGGTCAAAAACCCAGTTTGACACCCCTGCCACGCACATTTGCATACAGAGAGAGAGAGAGAGGCTGGGAGCCTCAATGGCACCCCTCTGGAGGCTTCACCTGGGGGGGACCCAACTAGCCCCCCCCCAAAGTTACAGCACTGCCTTAAGTATATGTCACATAACCTCTGGACATTCCAGACCATCTGGAGAATATTCAAGTGTGCACACTCAGTTCTGGTCCTTGACTAAACCTTTTGGGTCTCACTATGACCCATAGTTCGAATCCCCGCGGCGGGGTGCACTCCCGTTGTTCGGTCCCCGCGCCTGCCAACCTAGCAGTTCGAAAGCACTCCCGGGTGCAAGTAGATAAATAGGGACCGCTTACTAGCGGGAAGGTAAACACCATTTCCGTGTGCGGCTCTGGCTCGCCAGAGCAGCGATGTCACGCTGGCCACGTGACCCGGAAGTGTCTCCGGACAGCGCTGGCCCCCGGGCTATAGAGTGAGATGGGCGCACAACCCTAGAGTCTGTCAAGACTGGCCCGTACGGGCAGGGGTACCGTTACCTTTACCTTTATGACCACATAAACCGAGAGTGCATTCTAATTAAAAAAAACAAACACTACCTTATTTTATTTACTGGTTACATTTTTTGTTCCACCTTTCTTCTGTTATGGAACTCAAGACAGTATCTTTGGGGTTCTTATCTCCCATTGAGGCACCAAACAGATCCTGAACTTCTTAGAGTCAGCAAAATTGCTACATAATGTGTCTTCAGGCCATGCGCTGCACTTTATTGGGGAACATCAGTAGTTCTAGGCAATGTTGTCTTTAAGAAAAGCATACCTACCTGCCATTTCTGATCTTCTAAACTGAGGTATCCCAGTAAGCTTACAAAGAAGTGCAGGTTTCTCTGGAAAACCATTTGAAAGCCTTGCTTCATACCAAAGATAGGTAAAGGTAAAGGTACCCCTGCCCGTACGGGCCAGTCTTGACAGACTCTAGGGTTGTGCGCCTATCTCACTCAAGAGGCCGGGAGCCAGCGCTGTCCGCAGACACTTCCAGGTCACGTGGCCAGCGTGACATCGCTGCTCTGGTGAGCCAGAGCCGCAGACGGAAACACTGTTTACCTTCCCGCTAGTAAGCGGTCCCTATTTATCTACTTGCACCCGGGGGTGCTTTCGAACTGCTAGGTTGGCAGGCGCTGGGACCGAACGACAGGAGCGCACCCCGCTGCGGGGATTCGAACCACCGACCTATCGATCGGCAAGCCCTAGGCGCTGAGGCTTTTACCCACAGCGCCACCCATGTCCCTTCATAC